TGGTGCAAATGCAGGGGCTTAAGGGCCTTCTTATGTGCTCTTGACCTCTATGAGTCTATGGCTAATACAGTTGGTTCTTCTGTTAACGCGTGTTCCAGCAACACAAATTGGCTGTAATGTGATTGATGAATAGGGAATGTTATTTCTAAAACATTAACTTGTGTTGGCTATAACATGATTTCATCGGTGTGCAGAGGAGTACATGTCGACATCACATGATCATTTCACAGGCTTTGTTGTAAATACGTACAATGGTAGCGCGGAAAGACTCTCCATGCCGTATCACATGATCATTTCATGGGCTTTGTTATGAAGTGCTTTCTCTGTGACAGATACAGTACAACCTCCTCCACCATCAAGTCATCTTGACATTTTTTCAAGGTAAAGTGTTAAATTTCCTTTTATGTCATTATTAGATATGAATTAAACATTTATTCAAATTGTGCTATCCTTTGCGTTAGCCTTTGAGTGATTTTTTGAGCGATTTTGAGTGCTTTTTTTGGTGGTCTGCCCCAACCCCACTTTTCCCATAGATCCCGTTATTTCTATAGTACGATTTTCTATAACGCGGTCGCACAGGAACGCAACTATCGGGTTATAGCAGAACCGACTGTAGTCTTATTGCTGGAAGTGGCCAGAGGCTCTTAGTGCAAAAGATCATGACAAAGAGCAGCTTATTTGTTATTCAGCTTTGTCATTGCTTTACACTGTTCTAGTGTTAAGGAGCTAACGAAAGAGGGAAGTTCCCATCAGCAAGGCTAGCCCAAAAAACGGTATAATTGAGATGAGGAAATTCCAATAGACAGGGAAACAAGATTCATGTATCATCTCCTACCAAAAAAAATGATCTGCTGCTGGTTCTTTCTAATAAATGAAATAGTAAATGTTCCATCAGGGCTTTGCTTACTTTCTTAAGACAGAAGCATTGTTGAAATACAGCTAACTCCTGGGATGTATTCACTGGGTGATGGAAGTTTCATGTGGCAAAAAAATGAGGACAATGACAACTTTCATCGCCAATAATGGATGATTCACTCTATAGGGGATCAGTTAGCTCAGTTGGCTGGACAGCTAGTTTGCAATGCAGAGTGATGCCAACAGCATGGGTTTATTTCCTCCACTGGCTAAGCTACCATGAGGACTCTCCTTCTCAACCTCTCCCCTTGCCTGAAGTGTGGTGACCCTCAGGTTAAACCACCACCAGATTTCTCTGTCTAATGAGAAAGCAGCCCTATGGTCTGATAGGACATGGCAACTTTACCTTTTATTTAATCTACAGGTCGTTATAGGCCGGATGCACACTGCACCCAGAATTTCCTTAGGTAGTTAAAGGCTATAATTGATCTAACACACCCAAATAACTGACTAGACATGGACATGCTGTGTCAGAAATATTTACTAATGTTTGTAAGCCTCCGAAGATATCTGTGCTCCAAAATGTTCTCTTCTAAATACTTGACAATATTCACAATCAGGTGCAGAGTGAGAAAATTTTGATATTTAAAAGTTCTCCATTTACTGGACTTTTTCAAGGCACAATAACTCATATACTTTAGGATAATCTGTTGAAAGATAGTTATCTTTCAGTGAGTTAATACTTTCATCGTTTACTTATCTTTCAAAATATATATACAGATACACCGGTGTTTGAATGCATAAATAATGCATAGATGCTTAATCCATTGCAAACTTTCATCACATTTCACTGTTCTGAATGCGTAACTTCAAAGTAGAGCTTCATAAAGAGAGACAATTGTTTGATCCTTAAATTAGTTTTGCTAATCTTAACTGCTCACAAACATGAGAACTTGATTTTGAATAAACCTCTAATCATAAAAAGTATAACGGCACAAAGCAAAGAGAATGCTGATAGGTCAAATGGAGAAATAAAAGGTAGGCCTAGAAGATGTGTAAATGGAAATAGCAGAATAATTACCAACAGCTACCATCTAAAATAAAAAAGATTAGAGACTATGGTATGAAATTGAAGTCACTTTTGAGATCAGAGTGGCGAATCAAAAGATAAGTAAAGATAAGGCCATTCAGTCCCTCGAGCCTGTTCCACCATTCAATAAGATCATGACTGATCTGTGGCTTAACTCCATATATCTGCTTTTGACCCATGTCGCTTAATACCTTTGCTGTGCAATAAAGTCGGTGTTTGGTTTTTATGTCAGTAACATGGGAGACTGCTATGTGTCCGAAGTTAATAAGTACTTGTAAGTATTTCTGCAGCCATGGTGATTTCCATAAAGGAAAACTAAGGCCTAACTTTAGAATTAAAAAAGAGAGTTCTTTTTAAGCTTATAGAATCATAGAATTTTACAGTACAGAGACCATTTGACCCATCGTGTTTGTCCCAGCTCCCGACAGAGCAATCTAGCTAGTCCCAGTCTCCAGCCCTATCTCTATAGCTCTCTAACTTTACCCCTTTCAAATACATATCCAGCTCTCTTTTGAAACCTCCTATGGAATCCGCCCCTATCACTCTCCCACGCAGCACTTTCCACATGCTAACAACTCTGAGTAAAGAAGTTTCTCCTCAACTCACAGGAAACATCCATATCTTGGAGAAAGATTTAATTTTTAGCTTGATTTTAAGTTGTGCCACGTCCTGCAAAGTCCTTTGATAAAGATGCATGCACAGACTGCTACTCCTGGAAAGGGAAGAATACAGTGAAACCAGATGACCTTTGAGTAAAGTGTTGGTGATAGTCCCAGACCAGAACATTGGGATAAACCCCTTAAGGCTGAGTTTGTTTAAAGCCCAGATGTATAATAGCTTCAAGAAGAAGTGATGTGCAATTCTAGTCCATAAGTGAAATTATGTACATGTTAGAAACTTGAGTAAAAGCAAAATACTGCAGACGCTGGAAATCAAAAACAAGCACAAAATGATGTACAAAAGAATTCAGGTCAATTTCAATTCTGAAGAAGTCATACTAATCTTGAAACCTTAACTCTATTTCCCTCTGCATGGACACTGACACCCAACTTTATTGTTTAGCAAAGGTATTAAGTGACAATGGACCAAAGGCAGATATATGGAGTTAGGCCACAGATCAGTCATGATCTCATGAATGGTGGAACAGGCTCGAAGGACTGAATGGCCTATTTCTGTTCCTAGGGTCCTTTATATCACAGTACTAAATTGAGTTTTTCCCAGCATTTTCTGCATTTGTTTTAAAGTGTTAGAGGTAGGGATTCTAATGTGGGTACTGCACCGTGGTGGGTTTTAGGAACTATTAACAGCTATTGCTTTTCTTTTCAACTGATAAAGGAGAACTTTGGGATTAAATCAATTATTCTTTTAGTGTTTAAAAAACTTTGAAGTGGTGTTGCAAGTATAATGTTTGTTTACTCTTTCTTTTTTAAATAAATGTTTTTGTTGTTCAAGCGAAACTTGCAGCATTATGTGGTTCTGTTTCAGTTAGAGATCACTTTGTTGAAACTGAAATAAAATATGATTTATGAAGTCACTTCAGACTGGGATCTGACTTGTCCAGTCATAACATTAGTTGGGATAGTAGTAGTACACTATACAAGTAAACTGTTGCTTCACCCAGAAGTAATGTCTGGGCATTGGTCAGTGCAAAGATGTTGCGTACTTGGTGCTTCCAATAGGAAGACACTATGGGAAGGAGGGGGTTGTTTGCACTGAATGAGGAGTAGTCCAGGGATCACAAACACAACATTTCTCTCAGACTGCTGAAAGGGAAGCTGAAAATGGTTTGGTGCAGGCATCACACCAGAGACAGCACAAATGTCAAATGATTATAAACTGAACAGAAACTAGGAGCATATACAGATAGGGTGATTAAGAAGGCATTTAGCACACTTGCCTTCATTGCTCAGACCTGTGAGTATAGGAGTTGGGACGTTTTGTTGAGGTTGTACAGGATGTTGGTGAGGCCTCCTATAGAGTATTGTGTCCAGTTCCAGTCGCCCTGTTATAGGAGGGGATATTATTAAGCTGGAAAGAGTTCAGAAGAGATTTACCAGGATGTTGCTGGGAATGGAAGGTTTTAGTTATAAAAAGAGGCTGGGACTTTTTTCACTGGAGCGTAGGAGGTTGAGGGGTGACCTCACAGAGGTTTATAAAATCATGAGTGGTATAGATAAGGTAACTGGCATGTATCTTTTCACTAGGGTGGGGTATTTCAAGACTAGGGAGCATATTTTTAAGGTGACAGAAGAAAGATTTAAAAAGACATGAGGGGCAATTTTTTTTAACACAGAGTGGTTCATGTGTGGAATGAACTTCCAGAGAAAATGGTGGATGCGGGTACAGTTACAACATTTAAAAGAAATTTAGATAAGTACATGTATAAAAAATGTTTGGAGGGAAATGGGCCAAGCGCAGGCAGGTGGGATTAGTTTAGTTTGGGATTATGGTCGGCAAGGCCTGGTTGGACTGAAGGGTCTGTTTCATGTTGTATGATTATTACTTTCTGTACAGGACTTTGGTGAGGCCTCTTTCTCTCTCATAGACAATAAAGGGAAGACATTGCTATGCCCTTAATGAAACGGGTGATTGGAGTCAGAGATGTCCAATGAAAGAACAAATGCAGCCAAGCCAGGAGACTGGCAGTTGTTTTGCTTCTGTTTAAGGAGGAAGCTGCTACCTTGAGGTGGGACTAGATAGGGATAACAGTCTAGAGGGTTTGAACATACCCGAGGACAGGGAGATACCTATTCGTATGTTGACCATGAACTAAAGAGGTGTTTTCCAGTTTTCTTTCTAATATATTTCAATCAGTTCCATGCTAATTACATGTCAGTGAATAGAAAGTGACTTCGCTATCTTGGTAATGGTACGTTGTTGCTGTCAGAGGTGTTTTTAGTTAGGTGTCTTGCAAACACTTGTACATGAAATCACAATTTTAAACAAAAGTAAAATTTGTGATGTTAAATGAAACGTGTATATATTTTTAAAATTCTTATTTAACAGCGGTGTTCATTTGTTTCATGTAAACATTTCACATTACACACCACTATCATTTTTCTTGAAATGTTTTATTGTGAAGTACAGTAGCCACTCACTATAACTCTAATATATACATAATCTTTACTAATGCTCCAACATAAAGCTCATAAGATGCCTATTTTCCAACCATAGTCCAATTTGTACATAAAAGTTCTACAGATAGAGGGGGGCTACTGTACATTACTTACATTATAAAACAACATTTCTGTAAATATTCTTACAAAGCTAGTTACACACAAGTTTAACAGGATAAACAGACTAAAAGCAATAAGTTCCACTATTACATAGCTTTTTTTGAAAAAGAACCTACAAATTCCAGTGATTTTATTTTGCCTGCATCAGGACGCAGTTTTTCGTAGCGATTCTCGCAGAAGTAGTTTTATCAAGTCCAAAACTACCTTGATGTTCTGAGGACCAAATCCATGTGTGATTAAATTATATGGATGTTCCTGCCACATAAAACTGTCCATGATTGTGTCAAGATCTTCAATCACCTTTCTGGAGAAAATAAAAGAATTTGGTAAGCCTACGTGAAAAGTTTGTAGGTTCTTTCACAGTTGCTACATTGGATGCACTTTTCTAAAACAAAAATCAAATGACAAATCGTGTTTCCTGGAATGTGGAATCACAACTCAAAGGAAAGCAATATCTTTCTAGTGTTTCAACTGAGGCAATGATTTACTTGACATTGAAAAAAAAGGTAATAATAATAATAAACACTGAGCTTCACATGACAAAGGTGGATTTAATGCTTATGCTCATATGTGGTCAAAAAGTCAAAACAGAACCAACTGAGAAAACATCTAACAACACATTTCATTAATTTTACTTTTTCATATATCTGCCTTCTGCATGCAGTTTTCATGACATATAGCTACTTGTTGATTATTATTTGTCATTGATAAGTCGATATGTCTAGATTAAGAATCTTAAATGGCGAGGGATAAAGAAGTGAGTGAGGGAATAATTAAATTGAGAAACATTAGCAATGTTTCACCAAATCAAGTTTGATGGAAAGTTTAATGCATATTTGTCTGTAGTCAAGTGCAGGAATTGGGTTCTGATAAAATCAAAATATGCAATAAGATTTTTTTTTTGGTAAACCTTTGTACTCATCAAGGCTAGGCATGTTCAGACAGGAGAATTAAACATTTGATTTTTGTTTCATAGAATCATACAGCACAGGAGGAGGCCACTCAGACTACTGTGCCAATGTCACCTCTTAGGAACAGTTATCAAAATAGTTTTACTCCACTGCTCTTTCCTTAGAGCTCTGCAAACAGTTGCTTTTCAAGTATATAACCAATTTTCTTTTTGCAAGTTACCACTGAATCAGTATCCAACCTTTCAAGCAGTGCATTTCAGATCATCATAACTTGCTATGCAAATGTAAATCTCATCTCTACCCTTCCTAGTAGTAGATAAAATTATTGTGTCTATTACACAGAATGTATTAACAGGTCACTTAGAAAATATCAATGGGATTAGAAAAAAAATCAATATGAATATATGAAAGGTAAATCATATTTGAAAAATCTACAGTTACTTTCAGGATGTAACTAGTAGAATAGAGAAGGAAGAATGAGTGGATATGGTCTATTTCGATTTCAGTAAGCTTTTAGTAAGGTCACACATCTAAAATATGAAGAAATGTACACCAAACTTCAATGAACAAGATAATAAAAAAAATTATAACAAACTGTATCTTCCAATATGCAGTAAAAACAGATTACTAATTAATAAACTTAAACTATACCCCTCACTTTTAATCTAAATATACAGATTCATCTACACATAGGAAGGACACGGCAATGAGACAAACTGGATTTTTTTCTGGAAATATCATGGGCAACAACATTGGCAACAAGGCAGAAAGTAATAGACCACTCTGTTTTACTTTTCCTTATGAGTTGGGAACAAAACAACCAGTAATCCAAACTTCAATTTTCTGGTTTTTATTCCCAAATTTTAAAAAAAAGTCACCCTTACATTGACATGAATTGAGAATCAGTCGCCAGACTGAAACCAAAAGAGTAACAATAAATGTGTCTTTTTGGAAGGAAAGATATTGCTAGTACCACAGCGATCAATGTTTGGGCCTCACCTATTCACAACATACATCATCAATTTGAATGAGACAATTAAATGCAATATTTCCAAGATTGTTAATAACACAAAACTAGGAGGAACTGAGTGGTGAGAAAATGGTTTCAAGATGATTTAGATAGGTTAAGTGTTAAGTTAACAAGTTAAGTTAAATACATGGCAAATGCAGTACAATTTGGTAAGTGTGAAGTCATCCACATCAATAGGGAAAACAGAATCACAGAATATTATTTAAACAGTGATATGTTGGTAAATGTTGATGTACAAAGGGACTTTGGGTCTCCTTGTACACCCATCATTGAATGCAACTATGCAGGTGGATCTTGCATGCAAGGGATTTCAGTATAGGAGCAAGGATGTTTCCACATAGCTGTACAGGGCCTAGGTTAGAACCCACATGGAATAGTGCATGCAATTTTGGTTTCCTTACCCAAGGAAAAGTTATACTTACCATAGATAGAATTAAGTGAAGGTTTACCAGGATGTAATGACAGCTTTGTTGTATGAAAAGAGATTGGATCAATGGGTCTGTTTTTACTAGAGCTGAGAAGAATGAAAGAAGGATCTCATTGAAATTGCATACAATTCTGAGAGGATGCAGAGATGATGTTTCTCCTATCTGGGAGGGGGCTCTAGCAGCAGGGATTTTTGTCTCAGTATACAGTATATATCATTTACGATTGAGATGAGAAATTTTTTCACTGAAGTTTGTAAGCCTGTGGAATTCTTTACCATAAAAGGTAGTGGAGGTCAAATCAAATGAATATATTCAAGAAAGAAAGATAGATTTCTGGACACAGCACAGGTATAACATTGAAATAGAGGATCAGCCATGTTCATGTTGAATAATGGCATAGGTTTGATGGGTCAAATAGGTTATTCTTGGTCCTATATTCTATGTTTCAATCCCATATTCATCTCTCAGACTTTATCTCTGGATTCTCTTTCCTTGTCTCTTCATGTCCTCTCTTCACAATTAAGACATGTCGCAACTATCTCTACCATAGCTACGTAACCTGAATTTCCTCTATAGCTATTCATGTTTGCCTATTACTCTAGAACTAAGATAAGTTAGTTCCCTATATTTTTTCCACTTTGATGCTCTTTAGCCCTTATTTTCATTCCCCTTCCTTCCCGTCACCTCGTAATTTTACCTTTCATTCAGTCTCTACCTCAGTATACCACGATACATCATTACCTTATTGCATTTCTATTTTCATGCCAGGTATGAATTAGCCATTGGAGTAGCCAACAAGTACCCCCCACAGCATCATCAAGATACTTGTTGTGCCTCATGGAGAGCAACCTCAATTGTCCCAACCTCCTTCTTCAACAACCTTGTGGGCTAATCTCACAAACCGTCTTCCAACTCCACTTACTTAACTCATTTGGACTCTGCTGAGAGATCAACAATCACTATCCTTCTCTCAATTTTCTTCTAGAAATCCTTCTAGATTTGAAAATAAGGCTTTTGACACTCACAACCTTATGGTAAACAAGGACAAATGCAATATGACATATTCTGGACCAAAACTTAGCTCATAGGTGGAGGCACCATGCCCTTTACTAACTTTTTGATTTTTCATTTTTATTACTGTCACATGTATTGAGATACAGTGAAATGTATTATTTTGCGTGCTATCCAGGCAAATCATACCATACAGATGTACATCAGGCTAACAGAACTGAATAAAGCATATAGTGTTACAGCTACAGAGAAGGGGCAGAGAAAAATCAACTTTAATGTATGAAAGGTTATACAGTCATCGAGTTATACAGCACAGAAACAGACCCTTCAGTCCAACTTGTCTGCTCTGACCAGATATCCTAAATTACTCTATTCATGTACCCATTCAGATGCCTTTTAAATATTGTTAATTGTACCTGCTCCACCACCTCCTCTAGCAGCTCATTCCAGACACGCACCATCCTCTGCATGAAAAAGTTGCCTCTCAGCTCCCCTTTAAATCTTTCCCCTTTATCTAAACCAATGCCCTCTAGTTTTGGACTCCCCTACCCTGGGGAAAGACCTTGTCTATTTACCCTAATTACCCATGATTTTATAAACCCCTACGCGGTCATGCCTCAGCTTTCAACGTTCCAGGGAAAATAGCTCCAGCCTATTCAGCATCTTCCTATAGCACAAATCCTCCATCCCAGCAATATCCTTGTAAATCTTTTCTGAACCCTTTCAAGTTTAACAACATCTTTCCAATAGCTGGAAGACCAGAACTGAACGTAGTATTCTAAAGGTGGCCTCATCAATATCCTGTTCAACTGCAACATGACATCTCAACTCCAATATTCAATATACTGACCAATGAGGGCAAGCGTGCCAAATGCCTTTTTCACCACCCTGTCTACCTGCGACTCCACTTTTAATGAACTATGCATCCGCACCCCTAGGCAACACTACCATTAACTGCATAAGTCCTGCTCTGGTTTGCCTTACCAAAATTCAACACCTCACATTTATCTAAATTAAACTCCATCTGCCACTCCTCAGCTCATTGGTCCGTTCAAAAGTCTCATAAACGTGTTATTGAATCTGTTGGTGCATGTTTTCAAGCTTTTATATCTTCTGCCCGACGAAAGTGGTGGATGTGAGTCTAACAGGTGTGGGAGGGGTCTTTGATTATGTTGGCTGCTTTCCCCAGGCAGCAGGAAGTACAGATGGAGTCAGTGGAAGGAAGGCTGGTTTGCGTGATGGGCTGGGCTATGTTCACAGCTCTCTGTAATTTCTTGCAGTCTCGAGCAGAACAGCTACCACACCAAGCTGTGATGCATCCGGACAGGATGTTTTGTATTATGCATCTATAAAAATTGGTAAGAGTCATTGTGGGACATGCCAAATTTCCATAGCCTTCACTGGAATTGGAGGCGTTGTTGTGCTTTCTTACCTGTAGCGATAACATGGATGGACCAGGACAGATTGTTGGTGATCGTTACTCCTACGAACTTGAAGCTTCAACCACCTGCACATCAGCACCATTGACACAGACAGGGGTATGTCTTCTACTCTGCTTCCTGAAGTCGATGACCAGCTCCTTTATTTTGCTTACATTGAGGGAGAGATTGTTGTCTTTATACCATGTCATTAAGCTCTTTCTCTTTCATCAACTCCGTCACAACGTTTAAGATCCGAATCACTGCAGTGGTGTCATCAGCAAATTTGTAAATGGAGTTAGAACGAAATTTGACCAACCAGTTGTGAGTGTATAAGGAGTATAGTAAGGGGATGAGTTACACAGCCTTGCGGGGCACCAGTGTTGAATATTATTATGGAGGAAGTGTTGTCACCTATCCTTACTGATTGAGGTCTGTGGGTCAGGAAGTCGAAGATCCAGTTGCCGAGGCGGGAGCAGATCTTAGAGCTCGGAGCTTGGAGAGGAGTTTGGTTGAAATTATGGCTTTGAAGGCGGAGCCAAAGCCAATAAATAGGAGTCTGTCATAGGTGTCCTTGTTATCCAGATGTTCTCGGACGAGTATGGGGCCAGGGCGATGGAGGTTGCCGTGGACCTGCGTAGGGCTAGCGTGATGGCATTTGCCATGGACCTGTTGCGACGATAGGCAAGTTGTAGGGCCATTCAACCCGTTGAACCAGCTCCACTATTAAATAGGATCGTAACTGATTGACGACAGACCTCACATCCACTCTCCTGCCCTTTTCCCCATAACCCTTGATTCCCTACTGATCAGAAGTCCATCTATCTCAGTCTTAAATGTACACAAAGTCTGTGCTCCTACAGCTTTCTGCGGCAAGAGATTCCCTCTGACAGAACAAATTCCTCCTCATATCAGTCTTAAACTAGCATCCCTTTATTCTGAAACTGTGCCCTCAGATCCTAGACTCTCCTGTGTAGGGAGACATCCTCTCAGCATTTGCCATGTCAAGCTTCTTGAGAATCCCATATGTTTCAATGAGATCACTGCTCATTCTCCTAAATTTCAATGAGTAGAGTACCAGCTTGTTTAACCTTTGCTTATAAGACAATCCAACTATGCCTGGGATCATCCTAGTGAAGCTTCTCTGAACTACTTCCAAGTAAATAATATCTTTTCTTAAATAAGGGGACAAAAACAACCCACTATTATAACACACTGTACAGTCTGCAGTAAATCTTACACCTAAGACTTCCCTATCCTTATATTCCAACCTATTTTAAATAAGAGTCAACATTCCGTTATCCTTCCTAATTACCTGCTGCACCTTCTATATTTTATGCACATGTACACCCAAGTTGCTTTGTGTTGCAGCTTTCTGCAGTTTTTCTCCATTTAAATAATACTGTTCTTTTATTCTCCCTTCAAAAATGAACAACCTCACATTTTCCCACATTATACTCTATTTGGAAACTTTGTGCTCACTTCCTTAAATTCTCAATATTTCTCTGTAAACTGTCTGTACCCCTCTTGCAACTTGTCATTCCACCTATTTTTGTGATGTTTGATCACAGTACATTCATATCCTTCCTCCAAGTCATGAATATATATTGTAAACAGCTGCAGTTCCAGCACCGATCCCTATGGAACTCCATCATTTATAGGTCGCCAACCTGGAAAAGAATTCCTTAGGCCCATTCACTGTTTCCTGCATCAATAGTAAATTCTCCATCTATGCCAATATACTACCTCCAACACTATGGGCTTTTATCTTTTGACTTAACCTTTTGTGAGGTGCCAGTCGAATACCTTCAGCAAGTGCAAATAAAACACATCTACTGGTTCTCCCCTATCCACTCTGGATGAGATTTCCTCGAAAAATTCTAATAAATTAGCTAAATACAATTTCCCTCTTATGAAGTCATGCTATGTTCAATTAGATTACAATTTTCCAAATGTTCTATTACTTCCCTAATAATCAATTTCAATATTTTTCAAACAATAGATATTAGGCTGATTGGCCTATAGTTACCCACTTTATACCTCCCTTTTTGAACAAGGGTGTCACATTGGCAGTTTTCCAATCCTCTGGTACTTGTCCAGAATCCAAGGATTTTTGGAAAATTACAACCAATGGATCCACTATCATTTTGGTATCCTCTTTTCGGATCCTAAGATGCAAGCCAGGGGACAGGGGACTTAACTGCCTTTAGCCCCATTAGTTTGTCAAAACTACTTCACTAGTGATGGTAATGGTACGTAGTTTCTCCCTGTATCCTTTAGTATTAACGGGATGTTTGAGCTATCATCCACCATAAACACTGAAGCGAACTGTGTGTTCAACTCCTCTGCCATTTCCTTGTTCTCTATAACTTTTTCAAACAAAGGGTGGTGCGTATATGGAATTAGCTGCTGGAGGAAGTGGTAGAGGCGGTTTCAATTACAACATTTAAAAGATATTTGGACTGGTACATGAATAGGAAGGGTTTAGAGGGTTATGGGCCAAATGCAGGCAAAAGGGACTAGTTCTGTTTAGGATACCTGGTCAGCATGGACGAATTGGACTAAAGAGTCAGTTTCCATGCTGTATGATTCTATGACTGTCTCCTCAAATTCATTTCCTAAAGGGTCTATGTTCACTTTGACCTCTCTCTTCTTTTTTATATATTTAAAGAGCCCTCATTGTCAGTTTTTATATTCCTCACGAGCTTGCCCTTGCAGTTTATTTTCCTTTGTTCAGAGTTGCTCATGTGACATTATTGCCCTAATTTTCTGTTTACAATGCTCCTGAAGTAAGCCATAATGTTAACACGTGAAAAAAAAGCCCTATCCATACACACATACATACATATATGCGGTCCCTCACTGCTGAAAAAAATCTGACAAAGATTGCCTTTTGCAAATAATTTTAGTTCAGGACGTCTGGTAAATCATTTAAATAATATCCCAAACGTGATAAAATGGAAATGTATAGACTAGAACTGTACCAGAAATTTTGAAATCTTTGAAAATGCAATCAAGGTTGTTTTACTTTGTACTTAAATTTAGTTCTAAAGATGTGACACCAGTCCAAATTTCAGCTAAAGTAATTTCCACCTAAATACATCAGTCTTTACTCCCACCAAGTGCACATCCACTTCAAAAAAAAGGTTCTGGTGAGACATTATTAAAATCTAGTTATTTATCTGTTGACAAGAACAGTTTCATGTTTGACCTTATATGTATTTTTTGAAAGTTATCGAAGTAACATATGAACAAGGGAGAAATAATATCTTTTGTGTTTTGATTACCCAGTATCACATTAGGAAATAGAGTCAGTTGGCTAGATTAAGTGCAAGAAGCTCTTCACTCACAGTACCTCAGAAAAAAAAACCCTAAATGCATCAGTATAAATTTTTCAGCTATTCATATTAGCCATCCCTAAACACTGACGGTGAGATTGCAAATTGTGCTTTATAAGACAGTTATATAATTCTGTTGGCTATTCTAGTGCTGTAGAGCTGGTCACTCCAGTAAAGGCCCTAACAAAAGTTGGCGTTCAGAATATATCCAGCTAAGTCCCATGTTTCTACTTGATTCAGTACCTGTTCTTTCTTTAGGCAAATTATTTGCCAAATATTTATAAAAATGTGTGAAAATAAGTAGGAACATAATTTCTGAGTGACATTGGTGTATAAGCCCCTTCAAAATTGAGGAAGTCACTATAAATATTTGATGTGTGGCACAGTTGAGTCACCAACTTGCCTTTGTTGGATTGTATGTGAGGGGCTACTATTTCTCCAATCAGGAAGTTCATAATTGATATGAGCCAATCACAACGTGCACATACAACCAGATCAAAAAATACAACCAAAAATGTTCCAAAATACAAACTCAATTTGTATTTAAAATAAAAAATCCCATCACTTTAATAAAATTAAAAATGGTTCACTTGAAGCAATTTAAAATTGGACAACTAGGATGCCTGAATTGCTTCAATCATTTGCTGAAGGAAGGAAGGAAGCAGGTTCAGACACCCCAATAAATCAGCTTTGCGAAGACTGAAGTTTCAGCTGGAAGCAATCATGCAGAAATTGGTTTGTTTTCATTAATAAAACAAGTTCTGATGTTAAATATAATTAGAAAGACTTATTGAAACTATCACGCAAAATACAATGCAACTCAGATGTTCCAATCAAGTTTGGAAGCAGTATATAGAAAATATTTGTTATTTTGAAAATTTCACTATTGTAAACTGCGCATAATAATTCAATATTTCATTTGCTCATAAAATGTTAACTTGTACATTGTTTATGAATTCTAGAAATTTACTTTACAGTAATAGTATTAAAACAAACCTGGTTGTGATTAAATAGATAAAAGTGAATAGTTATAAAGGGCTCTTCATCTTTCCAACTTATTCCAGATAAAATTTAGATTAAAAAAAGTAAACTTTGTAGCATTTAATCATCTGTATTTAAAAATTATAATATTTTCAAACTATATTCGACACTCTTTTGACTGAGCGAAGGCTTGGAGGTCTGCTGGGTGCCATCAATGCAAATCTTTCAGCACTTTGCATGAATGGAAGGGAAAACAAAAGAAGGACTTCCACTTCTCCACCTGCCAAGAACAGTTTTCACTCCCACTTTCCTACTAGGGAATTAGCTATATATGATAAAACTCACCTCCTGAGTGAATAAAAAAGTCAGCCAAGCTTGGGATTCATACTCAGGTCTTCTTGTGATGGTCCAACACTGAACTCACATTAGCTAATTACCTTGAGTTGTTCTCAATTAAATACAGAGATTTGCCACTTGCCTTGCTGCATATATTTCTGAAGCTGCAGCGTGCTCTGCTATCGTGCTGGCACATTCATCGACAGGAAAGTACCCAAGGTTGAGCTGATGAAAATTTTCAGTCAGTGTTTTTGCTTCTCCTTCACAGAGTCGAGTAAATGATGTGTGTAGAGTCCGGTCATAGCCAGTCACAGGCAGATCCAGAAGCTGGCGAATGTCAAAGCGGTTATCTCTCCTTAGCCTTAGGTAGCTTTTAATGACTGTTTTAGACATTTTCTCAGGAGGGATAATACGTCTCCTAATCTCCCCCTTTGTTACAGGATATTTAACTTTTCTCTTTTTGTCATCTGCTGAGGGGAGCAAAGCAGGTACATGGGCAACAACAATTTGTTCTGCAATAAAAACAAAGCAATGGTGTTAGGTATTTTCTGATTTTCAACTGAGGAAGCAGTAAAAAACTACAACTGACTAAGATGGGATCATGAAATCCACTTTTATTTATCTTTGAACTTGGTAATCCTTGACTCTCATGAAATGAATGGAAACGTGAATCAGTATGTGGGCCTGCTGGAAAACACACTCATATCTACAATACCTGTGGTGACTTCATCTCATTAAAATATGACTGAAGCTCAATAGGACTAAAGTTCCAGTGTTCCAGTCTTTCCCCTATATTCTGATTATTAAAAATAATATTATACACAACCATCTGTCTCATCCAATCAAAATTTACTTGAGAAGGGAAAGGTCATTAACAATAAGTGTTTTAATGATTTCTCCTATATCTTCCTATATGTGATCAGTACTTAGTTCAGTGTTAATAAAGCAATTTTAATCAATGTTGCTAATCTATACAAATTAGATATTTTTTAATGAGGTTTGATTGTGTTAATAGTTTAACTGTTTAAACACTTCAACATATTAATAAGCTATATAGTTTATTGTCAGAATATTAATGCGAAAGTAAAATGGACAATTACAAAGTTGCAGATGCCTGTTAAAATATTATATAAAGGTTAGTGATACAAGACAGACAACAAGAGCTTCTTTAAATATATAAAAAGAAAGAGGGCAGCCGAAGAGAACAAGCTCCTTAGAGAATGAGGCTGGTGAAATAATAATAAGGAACTGGAAATGGCAGAGGAGTTGATTAAATACAATGCATTAGGCTTCATAGTAGAAGATACTAATAGCATTCCAAAATTACTAAATATTTCAAGGGACAAAATGTGAAGAGGAAATCAATACAATAATTAATACTAGAGAAAAAGTGGTAGGGAAACTGATGGTGCTAAAGCCTGATAAATCCCCTGGACATGATAGATTACATCCTAGGATATTAAAAGGAAGTAGCTACAGAAATAGTGGATGCACTGGTTAGTTATCTTACAAGAATCCCTACAGTTTATGAAATGACTCAGAGGATTGGAAAATTGCTAATGCAGTACCTTTATTTAGAAAGGGAAGGAGACAAGTAACTATAGGCCCGTTAGTTTAATGTCTGTTATTGGGAAAATGTTAGAGTCTATTATAAAGTAATAACACAGAAGTTACAGATACATAATATGATCAGAGTCAGCATGGCTTCATGAAGGGCTTCCGTTATTTGTCACACCTGACAAATTTTCTAGAATTCTTTGAGGAGTTAACAAGAAGGATAGATAAGGGGGAAGCAGTAGATGCAATATATATCTACTTTCAGAAGGCATTGGATTAGGTCTCACACATTTGGCTACTTAATACGATAATAGCCCATTTTTCAGTGAATAACAGGAAAGGCCACTGGAATGTTGGCCTTTATTTCGAAGGGAATGGAGTATAAAAGTAGGGAGGTTTTGTTAGAAATATACAAGGCACCAGTCAGACCACAGCTGTGATACCGTGTACAGGTTTTGCCCCCTTATCTGAGGAAAGCTATATCATGTAGATGTAGCTCAAAGAAGATGCACAAGACTGATCCCAGGTATGGAGGGCCAGTCTTATCAGGAGCGGTTGAATAGACTGGCCTGTACTCGTTGGAAAAGAAGAATAAGAGGTGACCTTCTTGGAACATAGAAGATTCTTAGGGGACATGACGGGGTAGATGCAGAAGGGTTGTTTTCCCTTGTGGGAGAGTCTAGGACCAGAGGGCAAAATCTCAAGATATTGGTTTGCACATTTAACCAAGTGATGAGAAGGAATTTCTTCTCTCAAGAGGATAGTGAATCTGTGGAATTCTTTATGCAGTTGGGTATTGAGGCTGGGTCATTAAGTACATACATACATAAATACATACATTGACATAGATTTTTAATCAGTCAGCGAATCAGGATAATGGGGAAAAGTGAGAGATGAAGACTATCACATCAACCGTGATTGCAATGAATGGCAGAGAAGATTCAGTGGGCTCAATGGCCTACTTCTGCTCCTGCATCTTATGGTCTTATTTTGAATTTGACATATATTCTACTTAGGATAAAAGAACTGTTATCAAACAAAGATAAATTATTATGAACAAATTATATTTTTTAATTGGGAAACTAGGTTTACCAAGCACATCAATGACAAAGAAATCCTCTAAGGGTAAATTTTCCTCCTACTATTCAACCTTATATTTCTACCAATATTATGTTTATTATTGCTGATATAATCTCAACCTTCCTTCTTAAATGGATTTACGTACAAAACTTTAACAAAATAAACTTAAAATATCATTGTAAATATTGCACACAACATTCTGAAAAAGCAATTATTTTAAAGGTATCTTGATAGATTTGTGATTTTGCAAAATTTTTGAAAGTAGAAAAATATTACAGGATTGCCATAAATTAACTCTATATTATTAAATTTGAAACTTCCTAGTTGGGTGATTTTTAAGAAATAAACTGTACCTTCATCCATTGCTGCTGCATTAAGCATATTACAAGATGGATATGGATTCACAATCATTAACTCTGGTCCTGAATCTGAAACTTAATTATAAAATAGTTAAAAACTAATATAAGGAAATTGTTCTCATAAAATATTCACATTTTCTAGAAATACATTGCTATGTTAACATAAAACCCACTAAATGTGGGTACACCCTTCCTTTTGCAACCAAGACTCGAAACCAGAGCACTGAAGAAAAGGACTATAAGCAAAGCAATGTAGTTCAGATTGAATATGGCCTCTTTGTTTATATCAAAAGATCCACTAATGTATAGATCTAAAATTATACTTTGCAACAGGTGCATTTTTAAAAATATATCTTCATGGGATATCACCACTTGTTACTCATCCTTAATTGCCACTAAACTTAGTTGCTGGCTAGGCCATTTCTGAGGTTGGTTAAGAGTTAACCACATTACTAAGGGTCTGAAGTCATATGTGAGCCATAAGGATTTTTATCCCTAAAGAACTTTAATGCGAACCGGATGGGTTTTTACTACTATCTATTACCGAGACTAGCTTTCAGGTCCATTTTTATTGTATTAATTGAATTTAAATTCCATTAGCTGCTATGGTAGGATTTGAACCCATGTCCCCAGAGCATTAGTCTGGGCCTCTGTCCACTAATCTTGTGATATAACTTTTACTGTCTATCTGCATTCCTTTTTTTTCAAAACCTCTGTCATGGTATTAGCAGAAATAATTCTCAGAGTCAGATTCATACTAATGTATTTGTTTTAAATGGAGAAATATCTCCATTTACATCAGAGTTTTCTTTAGAGAAAAAACTATCTATAAATTCATATTCCAAGGAATATCCAGGACACAAATTTTCTTCTCAGCTTTACAATGGGTAAGGCAAGGATAAAACTGTCACATTAGAACAGGAAATAGTGGAATTAGCAAATTGGTAAAAAGAAATCCAAACTTCCTTCACAACTACATCTGCACGATCACTTCCTGTATTACCAACACAACATTGCCAACTGCATAACATTTCTCCCTGAGAAGGAAGGCTTAATGTTTGTGGAAAATCTCATTTATGCTCCAGATGTGATTAGGTAGGCTTTCCACAAATACAGTGCCCTAAGATCAATAGTTAGGGTGATTTACAAATTGTATTATGGCTTTCTAGCAAACAGTTCACTCCATGGGCAAGTAGTTGTCATGTAACTCCAGCTAGTTGCGTGTAAGATCAACAGCACAAAACTGTCTCTTAACACCAATTCTCAAACACTAGAGTTGAAAAACCCTAACCACCAAACCAATATGTCGTAAAAATCCTGCACTTTGAGGACATTATAAAATCCATATAAAGCTGGCTAGACCAGTTCATTTGATTTCTGCTGCCATTAAATAATTTACAACTCAATAAAAAGTCACGAAGTCTTGAAGGACTTTTGTTATTCCTTCTACAACCCCTAGACTTTCCAAGAGGATTCACAGCTAACTAACAAGTACTTTAAAATGTGAACTCTGCTCTAATATAGGAAATGTGGCAACCAATTTGAACATTGTAAAGTCTCACAAACAGCATTAAAATGTTGGTCGTATTAGCCAGGATAGTGGGGAGAATGCAGAATTCAACCAATCTACTTATGAAAACAAATCTTGCAGTTGAAGATGCATTTTATTTTTTAAAATTAGATACCTTCTGTTATTCTGTCTTCCATATCTTGCTCACTTTTGCTCCTTTCCAGCGCTGCTGTTATAAGGAATACTGTTATCAGAAAAACTACCATCTTGCATATTTTTCTTTAACCTGAAAAGTTTTTTTATACAAAGGTATCAAATGCCTTAATTAATTTATGCAATTTTTCAACCAGGCTATTCATGAGGAAAAAGTGAAATAGATTTAGTTTGAGACTGATGTTAGCTCAAACTTTTGTTAGAGGTATCATATGGATTTTTAATGATCGAAAGCAAGAGTACAATTTAATAAATCTGCAGTTCTTTTAAATTTCCTTTAAGGCAGTAAGTTTGATATTTCCTTTCAGCGCCTCATTCAGCCGGAGTGCTCAGAAGCATTCGTGTCTATAATCGTGTGAAAAATGGCCTGGATTGATTGAGATTTCACATTGGCAATAGTCAGAAAATCAGCCCCGTGGTCCTCAAGTTATGATTTATAAAACTTCTCACTGGAAGTAGTACTTGTAAATGACACTACACAAGAAAATTATATGCAAAGAAATAGTAGAATATTTAAATTATTAATACAACAACTGCTTTAGTAGGAAGGTTTTGCTAAAACGACACAAGGCACAAATGAGTCCACAGCTGAAACACTGTTGAAAACAATTTTGGGATCCTTATCTAAGGAAAGATATTTTGACGTTGACGTTGGAGGCAGTTCATGGAAGGATCATAGGTAGGGAGTTGAGAAGATACTGTTTGTATTCGTTGGAATTTAGAAGAATGAGAGATGATTGTGTTGAAATATACCAGATTCTCAGGGGACCTGACAAAGTAAATGCAAAGATCGTTTCCCCTTGTGGGAGTGTCTTGGACTAGAGGGCATAATCTCAGAATAAAGGGTTGCACATTTAAGATAGTGATGAGGAGGAATTTCATCTCCCAGAGGGTAAGGAGTCTATGGATTTTTTTTTTAAATCACAGAAAGCTGTTGAAGCTTGGTCATTAAGTATATTCAAAGCTATGATAGATGGATTTGTCATCAGTAAGGGAATCAAGGTTTATGGGGAAAGGACAGGAAGTGGAGTTGTGGGTTACCTGATCAACCACAATTTCATTGAATGGCAGAACAGACTCGTTGGGCCGAATGGCCTACTTCTGCTTCTGTATATTTTGGTTTTAATGCAATACCAGAGGCAACAAACCCACAGAATTTCAGGATTGATATTGGATCAGTCAGTCTGATGATCCAGAGACAGATCATCACAGGGACCTGGGATTCTTTCTCCTCTCTGCAAACCTTGCAAGTCGATGCCCAAATATTCCAGCTGGGGGAATATTTGTAAAGTTCTTAACAAACCAAACTCCAGTAGTACCCCCAGTTAGCACTGGACATCTCTCACACTTTTCTCCTGTGAACATGCAACCAGATTCAATGGGCTTAGATAAGTTGGTTTGTTACTATAGATAATGAAAGCATACATTATATCAGGTAAACAGAATAGTTTGTGCTAAGAGTATTCCAAATAATTTAGTCAGGAAACTCTTAAGTATATTGATTAGTTTTTTTTTTAAGTATACATGTAGAAGGATTTTTAAATCAGTAAGGGAATCAAATATGGGGAAATGAAACCAAACAAAGTAGCCTCTCTGAGACAACAAGGTGCAGGGCTGGATGAACACAGCAGGCCAAGCAGCATCATAGGAGCAGAAAGGCTGACATTTCGGGCCTAGACCCTTCATCAGAAAAGGGGAAGGGGGTTCTGAAATAAATAGGGAGAGAGTGGGAGGCGGATAGAAGATGGATAGAGGAGAGGATAGGTGGAGAGGTACGAGAGAGTTGCAGTGGGAGAGAGATCCCCTGAGGTTTGTCCAGAGGGAGGAGGGTAACTTCTTCAGGCTAGGCATCCTTAGAAGAGGCTTCGCAGTGGGGTTAAAATTGAATCAGAGATAGTAGGAACTGCAGATGCTGGAGAATCCGAGACAACAAGGTGCAGGGCTGGATGAACACAGCAGGCCAAGCAGCATCATAGGAGCAGAAAGGCTGACGTTTCGGGCCTCGACCCTTCACCAGAAAAGGGGGAGGGGAAGGGGGTTCTGAAATAAATAGCCTCTCTGTCTATTGACACTGACCCATCAGCTTAACTCTACTATCCCAACTCAATAGTATTTATCTCCTTTTTGCCCTGTTTCTAGACCATAACATGAGGTCAATTCACCAGCCACTGAATGACAGAGCATTAGTGAGAAAGTTTGGAGAATTGTTTGCAATTAACTGTAAGAAGATTCCCGACGTCAAGAGCAAGATGTCCCATTTGCCAATCAAGTGCTGAACAACAAGACAGAATTCTTGCTAGGCAGTGGTAAGAAGCTTATTTGCATGGACAAGCCTGAATTTACATTCTCATTATTACATCCTCTCACTTCATTGTTATGCAGTTTCCCATTTTCCCACCCAAAAATAGACACTAGACAGTGGAAATTCCTGACAATGAAAGTGAGTATAGAAACCTGGTGACTCCAGTTCACCACCTGCTCCTCAAGCCATCCATCTTTAACAATAGGCAATCTTTAACCAACATCTCAGGGCAGCTCCATGGGCAGCAACCATGGACACCTTCTATCCACGTGGCTTGGCAAAGTGAGGTACAAATTAGCATAGTGAGGTACAAATTTCCCTTTATCCAACATGTCTGGAGGAACTGACAGAACAGTGCACTGTAACTGCCTAACTGCCAGCATTTGAACAGGTGCACGGCTAGATGTTAAAAATGGTGGTAGTGCCAAGACTCTTGGAAGATTCCAGCAGTGTATTTCTGCCTGTGGAGAGTGGGAGAATGTGACAAGAGGAGAGCCATTTGGTTGTAGGTCATAGGTAATCAAGCAAGATTGGGATAGCATGATAAAACTCAGGGGGGCACAGAGAGAAATTCACCAGAAGTGACAATTAGCTGATTTCTGATAAAATTCAGCACATAACATATGACTAGTATTTGTTCCTCAACTTGCTGTAACGACAGTGAATTTTGAAGTAATGCCTGCTTAAAGCTATGGCATCTAATGTGCAACTTAGGAGTCAAAGACACTCCACGCAGAATTTTATTTCATCTGCAACTTTCACGCAAGAGAAAATTTGTACTGTACATTGAAGACAGAATGGTTAGAAATCATAATAAACGTGAAGGCTCACTCACTTCCCAACACTTCAAGTGTTGCCAAAACTGCTGCCCATCCACCAGCACTAAAATACAACCTTGCATTAGTTTGGACTCCAGAATCCAGCAGCAAGTCTTCTTTTCCACTAAGATTCTCTGTCAAAACTTCGACATCAGATTCATTTGCTAAACGAACATTTGAGAAGATTTCATCCACTACATCAGCTTTCAAAATAGTGTGCAGGAACTCTGGCAATACAAAAATGAGGCATTGTTAGGGCCATTTTTTACATTATTTACTATACTTGTTATAAATCAAAGTATTTTTAAATCTAGGTTTGACACAAACTATTAATCAGAATATTCTACAATTTTCAATCGCAATGCTGTTCTACACTGTCGACTTCAGAGCTTCACATTAGTTTAAAAATGTAAAAAACCCAAGATTCCTTGTCAAAATGATAAGTTGTGGCCTGTGACAAAAATTAACTGAATTGATTTTGCTTCTATCAGAGCTCTGATGAAAATCATCTAGACTCAAAACGTAGGCCTGCTCTCTTTCCTCGGATGTAGTCTGGCCCGCTGTGATCTCCAGCAGTTCTTGCTTTTGGTACAGATTCTAGCATCTGCAGTAATTTGCTCCTACATTACGAACTGAACTGTTGGCATCACTCTGCATCACAAACCAAATGTCCAGCTAACTGAGCTAATTCAGAATAGCGTATGGGAAACTACATTGTTTAAAATTTTAGCTGGTATTTCAGGTCTCAAATTATAAATTGGTAATGTCGATTGCAGCATTCACACTCAACAAATTTAGGAAACAATTTATATCAGAGTAATGTTAAGGTTTAATTGCACATTAGTTTGCATAAGCACATAACAAACTATCTTACATCTCTGATGTATTGAGCACAATCAATGCAGATTAAGACCTTAAAATGCATCTTGATTTAAGAGTACATATATTTATTGGAATTTAAATCAATTTCAATCCTGCTATTTCTTTCTGACAGTAGTTTAGTTTTCTAAATGAGACCTTCATTCAAACTAATGGTTCAGTTACTCCAGACAGGTGCCAGGTAATGGATGATAAATGCTAGCCTAGCCAGTGGCACTTACATCCCCGAAATATTAAAACAAAAAGTGGCAGAAATTGAGCATCAAGTTATGCTTTTCCCCTTTCAGTTATTTTTCAACATAAAACTAAAGGTAAAATCCTGCACCTTCATACAGGTCCACCATGTTTCATCAGCAAGGAATGGCTATTTATAACTGTGACTGTTTAAATATCTAATCTTGCTGGCAGCCTAATTCTGCAGTCGGCATGTCATCAGTGTTGCATCTGATTGATTCTAACACTTTATCAGCTCATTGAACAAACAGGGAAATGTGGAATATTCCACTTATTTCTGAAAGAAATAAAATCCTTTCCCACTGAAATAAGGCAAGTAAGCAGTTTATCCAAAATAAAAAATGTAAAGCAATAAAATGTCAATGAAACTTTATTTACTATCAGAAAATTTGACAGTGGGGTAACAAATGAAATCAAGTTCTACTTAAGTCACTTTGACACGGTCATTATTTTTGTAAAATATATATTGCAGGGTAATATTCTACCCTGCTTAAATATACTCATGAATACAACAGTTTGCATTGTTCTACATACATTGCAAATACTTCTAAGTCGGGCAACACAGTGAAGGAGGTGGTGTTGCAATTTTGATTAGGGAATCTATTACAGCACTAAGGAGGGATGACACCTTAGAACGCCCCTCAAATGAGCCCAAATGGGTGGAACTTAAAAACCAAAACAAAGCAATTACATTGCTGGGAATGTACTTTCAGTCCCCTAACAGACAGAGAGAAATAGAACAGGAGTGTAGGCATATCTCAGAGAAGTGTAAAACTAATATGTTTGTGTTAGGAGGGGATTTCCAATTCCCCAACATTAACTCGGGTAGTCACTGTGAGAAAGCTTTGGAGAGAGCTGAATTTTTACAAGGCATCCAGAACAGTTCTTTAAGCCAGTATGCAGAAGGCCTTACAAGAGAGGGAGTGGTCCTCAACTTAATGTTAGGGAATGGAGCTGGGCGAGTGGCTGAAGTATCAGTGGGGGAGCATTTTGCAGACAGCAATTGTAATTCTGTTAGAATTAAGATTGCATGAAAAAGGACAAGGATGGGCCTGAAATAAAAGTTCTCACCTGGGGGAAGGCTGATTTTGAGAAGATCAGATATGATTTGGCCAGAGTGAACTGGGAGCAGATACTTTCAGGTAAAACTGTCTCAGAACAGTGGGATGCAATCAAGAATGAAATATGGGCCAACACGTTCCAATTAAAAAAAAGGTGAGACCATCAAATCCTGTGAACCCTGGATATCAAAGAAATGGTTTAAGAGAAAAAGGGAGGATTATGGAAGATACCTCGGACTTCTGCTCTTTTGAACTCTCAAGGTGTACAGGAATGTGCAAGAGGGAACTTAGAATGGAGATTAGGATAGGTAAAAGGGAATATGAAAGGATACTGATAAGTAAACTAAAGGAAAATCCTAAGTTGTTTCACATCCCTCCACCACCAATGCTCAGTATCAGTCGTGTGTGCTATCTACAAGATGCTCTGCAGAAATTTACCAAAGATCCTCAGACAGCACCCTCCAATCCCACAACCTCTTCCACTTAGAAGGACAAGGGCAGCAGATGTATGGGAACACCACCACCTGCAAGTTCCCCTCCAAGCCACTCACCATCCTGACTTGGAAATATATCACTGTTCCTTCACTGTCGCTGGGTCAAAATCCTGGAATTCCCTCCCTAATGGCATTGTGGATCAACCCACAGCAGGAGGACTGCAGCAGTTCAAGAAGGCAACTCAACACCACCTTCTCAAGGGCAACTAGGGACAGGCAAGAAATGCTGGCCAGCCAGCGACGTCCACATTCCACAAATAAATAGAAGAAAAAATGTACATTCAAGTTAAAAGGATGACAAGAGAAAGAGTAGGACCCATTCAGGTCCACAGTGGTAATTTATGTGTGGTGTCACTTATACCACTTGCCTAGCTTCATTACCTAAAGTTAAGATGAGGGTTACTCCCTGTCTTGTAAGGCCTTCTACATACTGGCTTAAAGAGCCATCCTGGATGCTTTTTAAAAATTCTTCTCCCTCCAAACCTTTTGCGCAATGACTACCCCAGTTAATGTTGGGGAAGTTGAAATCCCTACTATCACTATCCTTTTATTTTTGTGTGGGTGGAAAACCCAGGGAGAAGGTCTGAGATACAATTACAGAAATTAGCATAGACAAAGAGCAGGTTGTGAATGGTCTGGCAGGCTTAAAAGTAGATAAATCTCCAGTGCCGGATAAAATGTATCCAAAGGTTGTTGAGTGAGGCAAGTGTGCTTGCATAAATTTTCAATTCCTCTCTGACCATAGGACAGGTGCCAGAGAACAGTTAGTGTGGTACCGACGTTCAAGGGAGCAAGGGATAAATCGGGAAATTCAAGACCGGTCAGTCTAACCTGGGTGGTGGGGAAATTACTGGAAGCAATTCTGAGGGACAGACTTAAATCTACAATTGGAGAGGCAAAGATTAATAAAGAATAGTCGGCATGGTTTTATTAGGGAGGTAATGTCTGACCAACTTGACTGAATTTTTCGAACAGGTGACCAGCTGTGCACATGATGGCAATGCTTTTAATGTAGTCTCTACTTGAGCTTCAGCAAGATTTTTGATATATTCCCACATGGGAGATTGATAGCAAAGATAACGGCCCATGGTATCCAAGGAAATTTGGCTAATTTAATGGCAGGAAGCACAGGGTGATGGTCGAGAGGTTTTTTTGTGACTAGAAGCCTGTGTCCAGTGGGGTTCCACAGAGATCAGTGTTGGACCCTTGGTATTTCTGCCTTATATGAAGGATTTAGAGTTGAATGTAGGAGGGTTGATCATGGCGTTCTAGAACAATACAAAAATTGTTGGGGTGGTAAATAGTGAGGACGACGACTTTAGACTACAAGAGGATACAGATGGGCTGATCAGAGGCAAATAGAATTCATCCAGATAAACGTGAAGTGATGCAATTGGGTAGGACAAACAAGACAAGGGAATACATGATGAATGGTAGGATTCTGGGAGGTACCACACATCAGCAGGACCATAGTGTGCATGAACACCAGTCCCTTTCAGTTATCAGAACAGGTGGATAAAATGGTTAAGAAGGCAAAAGGTATACACGCCTTTGAGGCACTGAGTTTAAGAGCAGGGAGGTTATGAAGGAACTGTATAAAACATTGGTTAGGCCACAATTAATATATTGTGTGCAGTTCTGGAATCCACATTATAGCTGGGATATGACAGCACTGGAGAGGGTGCAGAGGAGATTTACCAAGATGTTGCCTGGGTAAGGGACTTTCAGTTATGAAAAGTGATTGGGTTGTTTTCCTTAGAGCAAAAGAGACTGTGAGGGGACATGACTGAAACATATAAAATTATGAGGGGCATAGATAGGGTAGATAGAGAAAAACATTTCCCCTTGATGCAGGGATCAATGACCAGGGGCATAAGTTTAAGGTAAGGGGCAGAAGGTTTAGAGGAGATGTGAGAAAAAACATTTTCACCCAGAGGGTGGTGGGATTCTGAAACTCACTGCCTGTATGTGTGACAGAGGCAAAAATCCTCACCATTTAAGAAGTACTTAGATGTGTACTTGCAATGCCGAGGCATACAAGGGTATGGGACAAATGTAGGAAAATGGGATTAAATGGGATTAGGAGGCTGTTCATACTGGATGGATGCAATTGACTGAAGGGCCTTTTTTCTGTGCTGTAGTTCTCTATGACTCTATAAATCAATATAAAAACAAAACTTTAGTTGCCTATCTAACATCATAGCATAAATCTTTTTTGAAGATAAAACTATCAAGAATGGATGAAGGCTCACAAATATGTTTGATGTGTTTTTTGAAAATACATTATTTTGTCAATTAAAAAGAAAAAAAGATACAAGATGCAGTATACTTGCATGGTTACTAAAACATCAAGTTAATTGAAAACATAGGAACACAGAAATTAGGAGCAGAAGGTTGCCACCAACCCATTGAGCATGCTTCACTATTCAACTAACTCATGGCTGATCTTTATGTCAATACCATTTTCAACACTATACTCACATCCATGATGTCTTTAATACCTATAAATCTATTGATCTCTGTCTTGAAAGTACTCAATGACTCAAAGTTTTCACAGTTCTCTGGTGTAGAGAATTCCAAAGATTCACTGCCCAAGGTGAAGAGATTCCTCTTCAATTCAGACCTAGTGATCTACCCCCTTAAACTGAGACTTTGTTCCTGGTTTTGAACTATCCTACCACATCCCCATTCCACTGATCAGCCAGGGAAACATTGTTCATCAACCTTGTTGAGCTCTTTAACAGTTTTGTATGTTTCAATGAGATTACTTCCTTTGTCTAAACTCAGAGAACATGGGCCTAGTCTCCTTAAATCTTCCCTCACAGGATATTCCTGCCTGCCAAGGCGTAGGCTAGTGACCTTCCACTGCAACTCCTCTGTGGTAAGTATATCTTTCCGTAGGTAAGGAGACCAAAACTGTACACAATAACTCAGAATTACAAAATACAGAATCACTCATGGAAAACTTTGGTTCAATAACAGAATCTTAAAAATGTTGTTACCTAAAACTCCCTCTTGCCCAGATGATTCTGAAGGATGATACTGTAATTCAGGGTTGTCAATGTCAGAATTTACACGATTACAGGTTAAGGGCCTGACACATTCAGAATCTAAAAGTGGTCCTAGATTCGATCCATTTTGGTCATGATTTGCCAGCTTGGCTGACCCAGTGCAGTACTCTCCAGGTGACACATCTGATGGTTTCATGGTATTCTCTACCAAACTTTCAGTTAAGCAAGATCCTCTTGATATAGGATGGGGGGAGTGGTGTAGTTCTGCAATGTGAACTTTGCCATTATTATAATGAGACATTAATGATGAACCAGAACACTGATCATCAATTGATGATGTCCGTTTTCTGTAGCCATTTGATATACTGCATGTCTCAGTTGGAGATAGATTGTGTCCAGTTGATTGTCCTACAACTAAGGAACTATTACCCAAGTGATATTTTTTCAATTCTCGACTTTGACTTCTGTTTTCATCTTTCATTACACATTGGTCATTAAATTCTGAGATCTCCTCTTTTTCAGTTTTTATATGCAGGATATCTGGTTTCTTGCCAGCTTGTGTTTCACCCATTGTACCATCAGCACCTAATTTCCCTTTGTCACTATCGAGCATATCAGTTTCTCTCCAAGACTGATGGGTCAAAGGAAATTGAGCAACTGAAGCTCCATTCCGGACTGTTTTATTGTCAGTAGGTAGAAAAGGCTTACAAGAGCCATCAAATGAATTAGTTTCTTTTGTTAAATCACCATCTGTAGTCTTAATTTTATGCGGTTTTCTTATTTGAACAGCTGATGCTAAGACATCTTCTAACTGCTTGGATTTCAAAGGCAGCTGGTCTCTGGATTTATCTTGATCACAAGGTAATTGACACATGCCTCCAGTCCACCAATGGTAGGAATGACCAGCTTCACATTCCCATAAAATAGCCAGGATTCCATTTTGGTGTTCTTCAACAATCTCCCTCCAGGTTGGGGTAAATGAGCATTGGTTACCATGACAATGTGACCAGATCACCAGCAGTTCAAGGTGTTCCCGGGTCAAGTGAAACACTGAATTGGAATAGTTGTCCTTCAGGAATGTATAATCTTAAAAAAAAGGAAAAATTGTTTAGAATTTCACAAAAAACGTAAATGCTTGCCAGAATCTTTCAAACACATAATTCAACTCACCTTTGGGTTTGACTTCCATATTTCCAATGTCAAATTCTTTCTTGTATTGCCTGTAACAAATAACAAATTAGAATGCAAATTTGCTGGTCTCAACCACATCTTAAATGAAAAAAAAGTTTTCTGCTCAGAAAAAGAAGAAAACCATCATAAAATTGGCTGCTCCCATCTCTGAAACATCGCCCACCTTGATCAAGGCTAAAAGGACAAAATGAACTTTAATTCATCTATATTCAGAGTGGTAAGTACCACTCACCCCTCATATTTGATGCAGATCTAAACTGATTCCCAGTCTCCCTTTACTAGAGAATCTGAAACTCTTAACTTGGGTTTAAGTGTGTTTATTGTCTCGTCACTCCCTACATCTAACTTCCTCCAATGTTTGAAACTCTTAAGAATTCTCATTTTCCCCAATGCTGCATTTGTGCATCCCAACAGCTGCATACTCAGCATCTAGACCCCAAGCCTTTGGAGCTTTCACTTGACCTCACTACCTCCTTCCTCCTGAAAATCCATTTGCTTGATCAAAAGTTTAGTTACCCTTCCCAACATGTCCTGCTTCAGCTTGACGTTAACTTTTGTCCAATTACTGTACACTTCAGTGAAGCACCTTGGGCCATGCTTCAACATTAAAAATGCTGTATAAATGGAAACTGTTATTGTTGATATAGCCAAATCATCAGAATTCAAACTGTCTGAGGAATAGATGGTCTAGCCTTCAACATCACAAGCCATTTTCAGAGATCCTGATGTTTAAATAGAAAACTAGACTGCAACTCTGATCATTGGAGGCAGATGTGTGAGCTTCCACATACCAACAGGGAATACACATGCAGTCATCTCCTCTCTCCCACATTATAAGAAACAGACTCAACATTAAGTTTGGACTATCAAAGAATCAGTCAACCATTAGGAAACCAACAGATTATCTCTGTTGGTATGCCATTACACAATCCAAATAAAATCTTGATTACTAGTGACTCAAACATAGGCATTGGATTCTTCCATTACAGTAAATTTTTTTTTTATTTTGAAAAATATATTTCTCCTTGAACTCAGTTGGTTATTCATCTAACTAGTAGGATAATAAACTTTAGGTCCAAATTCCACTGTAAAAATTTAAATACTTGTGGTAGGGAATACAAAATTCATGAGTGCCAGTAGGGAATGAAGCTACACACTTCCAAGTTAAAACTCCCCATAGAGGACAAACATTGAGAAAGCTAACTTTGAAATAAGTTATTTCTGAGTATGCAATTCACTGGTTAGCTTCTAATTTGCACGTTCAGGTTTGTATGTTTGTGTGAAAATGTTGAATATATGACTGCTTTAGTTGAAAGAGAAATTTCATCCTCAAAATTTGTTGTTAACATTTTGCTTATGTTCTGATTAGAATATATATTACGCAGATGCAATTACCATCGTCAGCTGAAGAACCATCTTGTTTGACAAAATAAGTTGCTTAACTGCTTGGTTCTCATAAGCCATCAGTAATTTTGACGGTGTGCCTTCTGCATCTTTGATTCAGATGAGCCCACAGTGTTGGAGGCAGCACGGTTAGAGAATTGGCTAATGGGCAGGAAACAGCAAGTGGGGATAAGGGATTCTTTTTCAGGTTGGCGACCTGTGACCAGTGGGATTCCACAGATATCAGTGCTAGCACTGCAACTGTTTATAATATATACGAATGATTTGGAGGAAGGAAGCAAATGTACTATAGACAAATCTGCAGATGACACAAAAACAGAGGGAAAGGAAAGTTGCAAGACGGATACAAACAATTTACAACGAGATACTGATAGGATAAGTAAGCAGGCAAAAAATTGCAAATGGAGTATAATGTGGGAAAATATAAAGTTCTTCATTTTGGAAGGAAAAACAAAAGAAAAGGTATTACTTAAATGGAGAAAAACTGCAAAAAGCTGCTACACAAGGGGACTTGGGTATGCTTGTGCACGAAACAGAGACAGCTAGCACACATGCAGCAGGAAATCAGGAAAGCTAATGGAATGTTGACACTGATTTCAAGGGGTTTGGCATAGAAGGGAAATTTTACTGCAACTGTACAACGTGTTGATGAGACCACATCTGGAGTAGTGTGCATAGTTTTGGTAACCTCATTTAAGAAAAGCTGTATTTCATTGGAGGTAGTTAGAGAGGGAGCACTAGGATGATCCCTGGTATTGAGGGACTGTCTTATGAGCAAAGACTAAAGAGGATGAAACTCTACTCATTGCAGTTTAGAAGAATGATAAGTGATTCTCATTGAAACATATACGATTTTTAAGGGACTTAGGGTAAATGCTGAGAGGATATTTCCCCTTCTGGGACAGTCTAGGACCAGAGGCCATAGTCTCAGAATTAAGGGGTACTAATTTAAGATTGAGACGAGGAAGAATTTCTTCTCACAGAGGGTTCTGAGTCTTTGCAACTTCTTTTCACAGACAGTTGTGGGAACAGAGTCCTTGTGTACATTTAAGGCTGAGAGAGATTCTTAATCAGTAGGAGAATCAAGGATTATAGGGAAACGGTAGGAAATTGTACATGAGCAGTGTCAGATCAGTCACGCTCCTGTTGAATGCTGAAGCAGTGTAGAGGGGCCAAACAGCCTACTCCTGTTCCTACTTTTTTAATGGTCTTATGACATTTGAAGACCACACAATAGTAGTTAAGGTGCTGTCCAGATACCAATCCTCTCTCAGATAAAACAATTAAAATTAATTAACAGGTTATTAATGTCACTGCCTTCTAACACATCACTGGTGTACTCCCTATGTAGGTGCCACTGTAAAGGAATGAAGCATGGCAAAAGTTTGATTATTTTGGGTCATTACTCTCTTATAAAAGACAGAGTGAATATAATAGAAATCTTTTAAATTATCACTTATTTGGATAGATTGAATCCAAATCAGCTTTCTGACACTTACAGAAGTTAAGCACAAAGAGTCACAGTTACAAATTAAAGTCAAAACATGAAATGTAGGAGATTTTTCATGTAAAAGGATATGCAATAAATTATTTTCATACAAGGTGCAATAAGAAGCCTTCGTGACTTTCAAGGAGCAATTAGACATGTTCTTCTCAATAGAATTCAGCATTACTAGAACTGTTTCAATTTATGTGGTGTCCTACAGTATGGGTCCAGGAAATTAACTGTATTGCCAAGTTTACTGTATGACAAACCACTCAACTAAAGGATGTCTAAATGAATGCAGCAGGATGAAGGCAAACTCAACAACCTTATTGCCAATCCTTAACAAAAACAGCAAATAAGACTGTAAATGCACTGCCTCATCGTCAAGCCACTGGATAAAAACATCCAGTGTGAACCTGTGTAGATAAAAAGGCAAATATAAATATGCAAAATATCACATCACTCTACACAGTTGCTCGTTTTTTAAACAATATATTAATTAAGCAGAAAACATTAGAAATATTTAGAGCGTCAGGCAGCATCTGTGTGACAAAACACAAAAGTTAACTTTTGATTTTCTCTCTCTTCAGACGCTGTCAAACACATTGAGATTCACAGTGTCTTTGGTATACAGTATATTTCAAACATTCAACATTTTCGCTCTGCTTTGTGAATGGCATTTTGTTTTTTAAGAAAGCATGTTTACAAGCGTGAAAGGGTAGATCTTACACATACAGTTTTGCGTTTCTGAGAATCGGTATTTGTTCTTGACTGATTCAACTTGGGTGCTCCATCGCTTACCCAAACATCAGGACCATGCTCCACAATTCTGACCACAGCCACCCCTACACATCCAAGTGCCAGCCCATATCCTCCGCTCGACAGCCCAGTGCCCGCCCGTATCCTCCACTTGACAGCCTAGTGCCCACCTGTATCCTCACCCCTACAGCCCAGTGCACAATCGTATCCTCCCTCCTATGGACCAGTGCCCGCCCGTATCCTCCCCACTACGGACCAATGCCCACCTATATCCTCCCCACTACAACCCAGTGCCCGCTTGTATTCTCCCCACTACGGACAGTGCCCACCCATATCCTCCCCACTACAGCCCTGTGCCCGCTCGTATCCTCCCCAATACAGCCCAGTGCCCGCTCGTATCCTCCCTCCTACGGCCCAGTGCCCGTTCGTATCCTCTCCCCATGGCCCAGTACCCGCTCGTATCCTCTCTCCTACAGCCCAGTGCCCACTCGTATCCTCTCTCCTACAGCCCAGTGCCCACTTGTATCCTCCCCCCTACGGACCAGTGCCCGCCCATATCCTCCCTTCCTACGGCCTAGTGCCCACGTGTATCCTCGCCCCCTCCAGGACCCAGTGCCTGCCCGTATCCTCCGCCCAAAAGCCCAATACCTGCCCATATCCTCCGCCCTACGGCCCAATGCCCGCCCGTATCCTCCCCTCGATGGCCCAGTGCTCACCTGTATCCTCTGCCCTACGGCCCAGTGCCCATCCGTATCCTGCCCTCTATGACCCAATGCCTTCCTGTATCCTCTGCCCTACGGTCCAGTGGCTGCCCATATCGTCCCCCCCAAACCCATGTGCCCGCCTGTATCCTCCCCCCACACCCCAGTGCCCTCACCCCCTATGACCCAGTGCCCGCCTGTATCCTCACCTCCTACAGCATAGTGCCCGCCCATATCCTGCCCCCTACAATCCGAAGCCCATCCATATCCTCCCCCTTACAGCCCAGTGCCCGCCTGTACTCTCCCTCCTATGATCCAGTGCCCACCTGTATCCTCCCCCTTTCATCCCAATGCCTGCCCATATCCTCCTCCTACTACCCAGTGCCTGCTCGTATCATCCCCCCTACACCCCAGTTCCCGCCCGTATCCTCCCCTCACGGCCCAGTGCCCCCCGCCCCGCATCCTCCCCGCCAAAGCCCAATGCCCCGCCCCCGGTATCCTCCCTCCTCCACCCCAGCGCTCCTCCCCGCTACGGCCCAGTGCCCGCCCGTATTCCCCCCGATCCCGGGATAGTTGAGTGGGATTCAGCCCCAGGTCACCCTGGTGTGTGGACCCCCCCTCCCCCCCCCCCGCGCACCCTTTGGCCGGTGGAGACGCTGAACTGTTCACGTTCACCCTGAATCTTACCGGGAACGGGAAGGCTCAGGCTGGGGCCGGACACCAACACAAGGCCGCACGGTTCGGCCGCAGGTGGGGTTACTGCTGCTGGGGGCTGATCCCGGGTCCCGGGCTCGGGCTCTAAGCAGCAGGAGCTGGATGTCCGTGGAAAATGGAGGATGGTCCCGTCAGGTACGGTGCCTGCTCTCGGCCAAACTGCACGACTCAAACCAAACGCAACTTTCGAAATGTTGCTCCCTGTTACAGACGGAAGAGGGACAGCACCTTTCGTCCTTTCATTATTAAAATAAATAAATACAACTCTTGTTCAAATAAGAGTCAACTCCTTTCTTCCTTTCCTAGATGCTGCCCAAATTGGTAATTATTTCCATACTTTGGGAAGCTCTGAAGGCATTAGAGATGTGATCAAAGGCTAAATTTGCAGAAAGATAAAATGTTGTAAAGACAACATAACAAGGAGGTGAAACAACATTGGTAGGTTTTGAGCGGGCAAATGTGAAGTTGTTCACTTTGGCCAGAAAAATAAAAAGAGTGGAGCTTTATTTAAATGGTGAATGACTGTGGAATTCTGCAGTATGTTGAGCTGTTCTTGTGCATGAGCAACAAAAAAAATTGCAGTTACAACAAGTGAATTAAAAAAAACTAATGGAAATATTATCTTTTGTTTTGTGAGGAATTTAACATAAAAGTAAGAATAAAAACCAAAAAATACTGTGGATGCTGAAAATCAGAAACAAAAACAGAAATTGCTGGAAAAGCTCACCGGGTCTGACAGCATCTGTGGAGAGAAATCAGAGTTAATATTTCACGGGTCTGACAGCATCTGTGGAGAGAAATCAGAGTTAATATTTCAGTTCCAATGACCCTTCCTCAGAACGGAGCTTTTCCAGCAATTTCTGTTTTTGTTTCTGATACAAGTAAGAATATTATGCTTCAGTTATGCAGAACAATAATGATATCAAATCTTGAACATTGCACGCAGTTTTGATGTCCTTATTTAAGGAAGGATGTGAATGCATTGGAGGTGGTTCAGACAAGGTTTTCTGCATTGATGCCTGGAATGAATGTGTTGTCTTATGTGGAAAGTTTGAACAGGCTGAACTTGTTTCGACCAGAGGTAGAAAGGTGAAGGTGATTGGTTGAAGTTCATAAATACCTGAATGGTTATGACAAGGTGGACATAAAAGGATGTTCACTCTTGGCAGTAAGCCCAAAAATAGGGAACTCTGTTTTAAATGTAAGGGTCATTCATTTGTGCTAGAGATGAGGAGAAATATTGTATCTCCAACAATTCTGTGTCTTTGGAACTCTCTGCCTCAGAAGACAGTGAAGGCATGCCATTGAAACTTTTTAAGGCAAAGGTAAATAAATTCTTGTTAGGCAAGGAAATCAAAAATTATGAGGGGTTGATGGGAATTTGGAATTCACAGCAGAAACATATCATCTTAAAGGACTGATTGGCCAACTTCTGCTCCTAATTCATATATTCAAATTTCAGTTGTATCAACAGTGTAGAAAAGTTAGGATTGTGTTTCTTGGTGAAGAGTAAGTTGAGGAGAAATTTGATGGAGGTGTTGAAAGTCATGAAGGGTCATAACATCATAGTCATAGAGTCATACATCATGGAAACAGATCCTTCAGTCCAATGAGTCCATGCTGACCATGTTCCTAAACTAAACTAGTCTCACTTGCCTGGGTTTTGCCCATATCCCTCCAAATCCTTTCCTGTTCATGTACTTATCCAAATATCTTTTAAATGCTGTAACTGTACCTGCATCCACCACTTCCTCTGGCAGTTCATTCCACACACGAACCACTCTCTGTGTAAAAAAAGTTGCCCCTCGTCCTTTTTGCAACTTTCTCCTCCCACCAAATTTTTGGTCGTGATAGAGGAAATAGAAAGAAGCTGTACATATCGGAATCAAGAGTCAGAGAACACAAAATTTAGTGACTGTTAAAAGAAATAATAATGACACAAGATTTTTTACACGCTGAGTGGTTAGGATCTAAAACATAAACTCTGAGAGTATGGTGGAGATATTCAAACATGTCTTTCAGAAGAGAATTGGACTATTACTTGAAGAGGAAAGATTTGTAGATCTGTGGGGAGAAGTTGGAGGAGTGGTACAAGGTGAGCTGCACTTGCAGATAGCTCATTCAGATCAAAGGGACTTGTTTTATGCTGTAACAATTCTATGATTTCTTTTCATTTTACTTCAAGTAAACAAGGACATGCATGGGACCATATTTTGCAAACAGCAATAAACCCTCAAATTACACTTGCACTTGTACATGTACGTGGGTTTCTACAAGTTGAAGTGCAAATTGCTGCCAGCCAATTATCCAAAAGCCATAGCACTTTTTACAGGAGATAACCAATCAGATTGTGGAATAATTAATGAACAATACAGAGCGTAAACTATTAAGTATCAGTTGGAACAGAAATCTCAAATCAAATGGTGTACAGAATGTGAGATACAGAAAGAAAGAAAAATTGAAATAAGAGAGAGACAAAAGAAGGAAGCACAATAAGAAATCAATAATTAGAATATGAAGGAATGATTCTCCATAGAAATACCCATAATATACAACACAAATCCATCCTTCCTCCCACTTTTCGCCCCTAACTCTATGAGCATTAGCTTCTATTCATTTGCTTATCCAGTCTCTCTTGAATACATCCATAGTATTTGCTTTGACCATGCTCCATGGCATCGAGTTCCACATTCTCACCATTAGGTACAGAAGCTTCTTCTGAAATCCCTGTTTGATTTCTTGTTGACTATCTTCTAGGTGACCTCAGGTTTTGCTCTTCTTCCTGAATAAAATACTCTGTATGTTGTGTCAAAACCTTTAAAGATTTCTATTAAGTCATATCTCAGCTTTACATGTCAAGAGAAAAGAGACACCTATCTGTTCATCATGTAAAGGGTAAGGGCTTGACCTGACACCAAAAATACCTTGAAAGTTAGATGCCTTTTTCAAAATGAATGTTCTTTTTTAGAAATGAGCATGTAAGAAGTCCTACTCTCTTAAATGATTGTAAGGGTTTTTCAGTACAATGTTTGAGCAGTCAATTTATACAGTTACAAAGGTTTATTTGACAAACTGTTTCATTCATTACATCATCCTTGCACCTGTCATCTTTGATCTGTTATCTCTCAATTTGGTTATTCTTGTGCTTATTTTGTTTAACAGGTAAGCTTTCAATCTCCTAGGTTTGGTGCCAAGTCTCCCTTGAGATCTTTTTTTCCCAAAACATTCTACAGTACATCATTTTTTAAAATATATATTATGTATTAGTTGAAATTTACATAAAGTGTGATACAGATTATTTTATTTTCCCCAGTATTAGTACATGAAGTAGCTCATAACACTTACTATTATGAGTTACATTTACAATGCACATTTAAGTTTCATGTCAAACATTCTCTGTTACGCACAGCCCAAAGGTTTCAATATACTATGGTGGAAGGGCCTTGAACAGTGACCTTTCCATTTTGTGCCTTTGCGATAGATGACATGAACTTCAGTGCATTCCTCAAACGTAATCCTGTTCTTGAAAATGTGCCAATCTGCACCACTTGGTCAATGGCAGCTTTTTGTCCTGGAAAACCAGCATTTTTCTGCCTGACCATTGAGTAAGCCAGCCTGTTCAACTTTATAGGCATAACACCACATCTCAGTCACTATTATAAATCTGTTTTACACCCTCTCCAGTGACTTTATATTCCTTTGATAATGTGGTACCTAGAACTGTGCACAGCACTCCAAGTTAATCTAACCAAGGTTCTTTAAGACAAGCTTAGGATAACTTCTCAATTTGGCAATTCCAGCCCTCTAGAAATAAACACCAGCACCCAGACTGTTTTTGCTATGGCGTCGTTAACCTGTGTCACAAATTTTATTGATTTGTTCATTTGTATTTCTAGATCACATTGCTCCTCCACTATTTAGATTTTTATTTTCCAGTATTATGTGGTGTTATAGGCCCATTCTGGAAATTTATTGATGTCTTCTTGTAACTTCTTGTCTTCTTTCCATCTTCATACAGGTCTTCTCAAGATTGACTTTCGACTACAATTTGATGTCATTCCAAAAATATAGAAACTATTTTACCAGAATTTTACTTTGAGGGGGCTATGTTAATTTGGGGGAGTTTTGTGGAGTGTTTCTCTCTGTCAGCTCTTGTGAGTTTTCTCATGTGATTTTGTCTTGCTAACCTCATTATGTACGCAGCACACTCTATAGTGGGCATTTGTGCTTTGGTGCCTCACCAGCAATGACAGTATTTTCTGCTGTGTGGACTTCCAACACAGTGCCATATTTAAAGCCCAGCTATGTACCAGGTGAATTGCTGCCGGCACTGAATAGGCTTTCACTGTACGTAGTGGGAAATAAATGAAAACAAAAGCTCTGAGGGCACACAGGTGGCACAGTTGACATTTCATTACAAAAATGAGTTCACACTCATAGAAGTATTACTATTTAACATCATTGCCTGTTTGATCTACTGTCATTGTAACTGTAGCTGCAAGATTCAAGTTACACAGCCCATCCATCCTTAGCACCGTACCATGTTAGAACCCTGTATAAAGGAGTGCTGCGCTTTCCCTGCTACTCAGATTGGCTTTTCAATTGCCCAATCTGAGAACATCACATTGCTGGAAAGCCTTCAAACATTGAAGGCATTAACTGTTATTAAAAATGGGCAAAAGCAAAAAAATAAAAACAACAAAAAGTGTTGCAATTGCTTCTGGGAGCAAACAGGGACAGCTTGGCTTGTGAGCAACAACAAGCTCTCATCTATTGGAATCATGTGTCAATTAAGTCCCAGATGCCCTCCTATTTCAAAGACCGTAACTTCCCCCCTCCGATGATCGAAAACGCCCTCAACTGCATCTCTTGCATTTCCCACACTTCTGTCCTCGCATCCCCTCCCCCCTCAACAGACAGAATCCCCCTTGTCCTCACATATCACCCTACTAACCCCCGCATCCAATGCATCATTCTCCGCCACTGACAATCCGACCCCACAACCAAAGAGCTATTTCCCTCCCCAGCCCTATCTGCCTTTCAGAGGGACCACTCTCTCCATGACTCCCTCGTCCGCTCCACACTCCCTACTAATGCCACCACACCCAGCACCTTTCCCTGCAACTGCAGGAAGTGCTACACCTGCCCCTACACCTCCCTCCTCACCTCCATTCAAGGTCCAAAATAAACCTTTCATATCAGACAGGGGTTCACCTGCACATCTGTCAACTTGGTCTACTGTATCCGTTGCTCCTGATGTGGCCGCCTCTACATCGTTGAGACCAAGCAGAGGCTCGGAGACTGTTTTGTAGAGCATCTGCGCTCTGTACGTGACAAACGGCAACACCTTCTGGTTGCCAACCATTTCAACTCCCCCTCCCACTCCCTGGGTGACATGTCCATCCTGGGCCTCCTCCAGTGCCACAATGACACCACCCACAAACTGGAGGAGCAGCACCTCATATTCCACCTTGGGACCCAACAGCCCAATGGCCTAAACATGGATTTCACCAGTTTTAAAATCTCCCCACCTACGGACTCATCCCATGCCCAAACTTCCATCTCACCCCTGCCTCCTTGACCTGACACAACCTGTCCATCTTCTCTCCCACCTATCTGCCCCACCATCCCACCGACCAATCCCCACCATTCCCTACCTACACTCACCTATCACCATCCCACCCACCTTCCCCAGTCCCACCCCTCCTCTCTCTATTTATTTCCCAGTTCCCTTCCTCGTCCCCATTTCTGAAGAAGGATCCAGACCGGAAATGTCAACTTTCCTCCTCCTCTGATGCTGCCTGGCCTGCTGTGTTCCTCCAGCTCCATATTGTGTTGTCTTTGACTCCAGCATCCGTAGTTTTTGCTATCTCTGAGTCAATTAAGTCCGGTCTGCTTGTTGTGTCTGACTCTGTACTGCTTTCTCATGCTGAAGGTGATGTTCCTACAGCTCAATGTCCTTATCTTCCTACTTGGAAGACTGCTGTCAATCCCGCAGTTATCCAGTGTCCATCGCATCTCGTGCTCTAGTTATTGCTGAGCACAGCATGCTAGGATTATGTGGGACACTCTGGACTTTACTGCAAGACACGACCCCCAGACCAATCTAAGTATCAGAACCTCATCTTCAGAAGGGATGTTGTCAGCTTTGCAATAGCCTCAGTGGAAGAATGGGCTGAATTGTATCAATGCTCGACCTCAGTCAGGGGTTTGTTTAATGGGGTCTTCAACCACATTTACAGGGGATAGCTTCTGTCTCTGAGTCAAGGAAGGAGACTGGCTGTGACCACACCTGGAGTGGGTGGGATAAATGTCTCAACCAGTGAGGGATGGCAATGCAAGACCCACTGATGTGAAGCCCTTTAGAGGCTTAGAATATGATGCACAGACCCATACAATTTACAAGACACTGACGTATGGGCTCCACCAATCCCTGACTATACTAAGTCATTGTCTCCCTGTGTGTTATACAGCTGTCTGCCCCACACATTGCTAACCTCTTCATTCAGTCCCAACACTTTGGCACATACAGAGCCAGGCAAAGAATATGAATGCTCGACCATGGAGGGTAATGGTACCAGCAGAACCTGTTGACCTTTATATGTTCATCTTACCTCCAAATGCAGCACTAGGTTCTCAACACAACATCCATCTACAGAACATTCTGAATTAATTTAGGCATAATGCTGGCATAATTACAGACAGAGGGGCTAGACAGAGTTTCAAACAAACAGTGTACCATTATACTAGTAACATTTA